CTCAGGCGGGGTCGGGGGCAGGGGACTGAAAGTCTGCAGCCCTTCGGAACCTGGAAACCATGAAGGCGAGCAGAGCAGCAGCTCACAACTCGCCCTCACCCACACAGTGACCCGAGGACCCCACAGAGACGCAGATGGGCGGCTGTCAGGGACAACAGACGCCCACACGCAGGTGTCTGCTCCCTTCTTGCCAGGCACCCAGTACGAGAGGTCCCAGTGAAGCCAGGCCTTTGCCCTGAGCTATACCCACCGTCCTTTTATATTTTTAATTTTCAGACCGGGTCTTATTAAATCACTCAGTTGCTGCACTTGAACTTGGGATCCTCCCACCTCAGCCTCCTAGAGAGCCAGGATTATAAGCATGAGCTACCAGGCTCACCTCCTTTTTAAAAATTATTTGTTCATTTAATAATCCTGTGGATTGCATGCAAGGCCTTTGCACAGAGCTATATCCCCAGCCCTTAGTTTCTACTTTAAGACAGAGTCTCACTAAATTGCTAAATTGCCCAGGGTAGACTTGAACCTTTTTCCATCCTCCTGCCTCAGCCTCCCAGAGTGCTGACATCACAGGTGTGCACCACTACACCTGACTCAACTTCTGCCTTTTTTTTTTTTTTTGGGTACTGGGAATCGAACTCAGGACCTTGTGCTTGCCAGGCAGGCTCTGTGCTGCTGAGGTATCTCCCTGGCCCTAACTTCTCTTATCAAAGAAAGCAGACCCAGCTCCCCAGGCTGGGCTGGGGGAGACCCAGACCCAGGGCCAGGTTCTTGAGGGGTGGACTGCCAGGACCCCAGCCCTCTGCTTCCCATCAGCTGCCTGACTGAACTAATTCCTGAGCCCCCAAACTCCTCAGTCTGCATTTGCAAAACAAGTACCCTCTCCTGAAATACTCCAGCCTGGAGCCGGGGGTGTGGCCCAGGGACATCATTTGGGGGGGTGCGGGGAGCACAAAAAAAAAGTGTAAGAAACACTGACCAGCAGAGAAAGTGTATGTGTCAGGTTACTAATTCCTCTTGACCGAGTTTGAAAGGCCCGCAGAAAAGGGGGCTTTCTGTGCTGTTTTCTTCCCATCAGAGGACAGAAAGCAGGATCCCCACCTGAGCCTGCAGGGCTCAATTCCCAAAGCAGGTACTTGCCCCCTCCGTGTTGGGGCGTGGGGAATGCGCACCGCGGCACTACCCCAGGCAGTCGCGTGCTCCTCCTTCCTTCCGCACCTCAGGGTCTCACCCGGCCCCGCTGAGACCCCACGGGCAGCTGGGGACCTGCCGGCTCCCTCCTCACACCGCCAGAAGTCTCTTCCTCCCGCCCTCCCAGGGCAGCACCCTGGCTGTCCCCGCGCCTTGGGTCAACAGACCTGGATTGGCCACTCAGCCCTGATGGGCTCAGTAAGTGTTTACCTGTCTGTCTGCCCAGCCGGCCCGGAGCCGGGGCCACCTGCAGGATAAGGACCCCGCACCATCGGGTGACTGCCACGGGACCAGACTGGATGATGGAGGGGGTCAAACAGGCCCCCCAGTTCCTGCCTGGGGACCCAGGACTGGGCACACAGTGTGCAGAGCCTCGTAGTCACCTTCTGTTGAAGGGCAGGGGGACAGACAAGGGTGGCCGGACAAGGGGACAGGAGCTACACGGGCAGTATTCAGCAAGCGCTCGCTCCCAGAGGGCTCAGCCGACAGGGTGCACAAGTGCAGGCCCAGCCCGCGTCACAGCTCCAGGTCTCCGCAAGGCACCACAGTCTGTGCGGGGAATGCAGCTGTCCTTCAGGCGGTGGCTCGATGTGCGCTGGCCTCCGGGTGGAGCCTCATAGCTCCTGGCTCTGGACATGATCCATGAATGTCGCCCTTGATGGCCAAAGAAATGACCCGGATCCACGGATTCCCAGTGTCCCTGCCCAGCGCCAGACACGCGCGAGCGCGCGCGCACCTGCAGTCAGTGCCAGCTCTTCTCCCACCACCAGAAAAACAGGTTTGCTCTGCAGTGCAGTGGGTGTTTTGTATTGTCACATCCCAATATTGACACTAGGCAAATCAGCTGCCCTCCGTGTGCCCCGGCCACCTGCCCCGGGGCTGCCTCGGCCCTCACAGTCCGTATCCCTCGGGGACCCGGACTGACAGACCAGCAGCTGGACAAAGGGCAGAGGAGGAAGCGGCCACACATGTCCAGCCCAGACCCACCGCTGGCTTCCTGGTGGCCGCCAACAACAAAAGTCGAGTGCCGCCGAGAACTTCCTCAACACTGCTAGGAATTGTTCTGGGCACAGAAAAACAGGTGGGTTCTCGTGGGCTCCAAGTGCGCTGCAGGCAAGAGGCCATTAACTGTCCAGAATCTCCCTGGCTTCGCTGAACAGGCGGACGCTCAACAGGGCGGGGTTACCATGCCTCTAGCACAGGGGTCCCTCCAGCCCCCGCCTCACCTCAGGGAGGACCCGAAGCACAGGAGGGGCCCGCTAGGAGGCGCTCTGGCTTCTGCGATGTCATTCCCCACGCCAGCCTTCCGCCTGCTCCCCACCAGGCACCTAAGCTGCGGCGGCATGCTCCTGTATGTCATCTGATGTTTTCGCACGGAGCGGGAGGTTAGCGTAAGTCAGTGTACAAATGCATGAGAGCAGTTCAGTCTCAGCATAGGAAGAGGGACAGCTACGCCCTGAGATAGGGTAGTCAGGGAGGGCTTCTCAGAGGCGGCAGTGGCTGGTGGAACAGAGGCAGCAAAGGGCGGTAATTCACACACCCAGAGAGATTGGGCTGTGTCGCTCCAGTGAGCTGTTTTAAGCCTCACATTATTCCTTGAGAGACTTCAGAGTGTCCCTGGTGTCTACAGAATTATCCCTGCTGAGGTCGTTTAGAAAAAAAGCTCAACTACGCAACAATGCCGGGAGTTCGGCTCAGTGGCAGAGCTGGCCCTGGGTTCAAGTGCAGGCAGCCTGGGTTCAATCCACGCCACAACCAAAAAATAAAAAAAGAAAAGAAAAGAAAGAAAAAGGAAAAAAAAATCAACTAGAAGACACCTTAGAAGACTGATTAAGCCTGATGTGGTGCCACACACCTGTAATCCCCACACTTTAGGAGGCTGAGACAGGAGGATTGCAAGTTTCAATCCAGCTTGGGCACCTTAACGACCGAACAAAATCCTGTCTCAAAAAATGAAAAAGGCCAGGGATGGAGCACAGTACAGAGACCTTGGGTCCACTCCCCAGTGCTACAAAAACGAAAATGATTGATCAAATGAATTTGTTACTGAGAGAAAGGGACATTCTGAATTTTCAGCCCTCGGCTGAATATTCACCTCCTGGAAGCCAGCAGCCTCCCTGGCACACTGGACATACTAGGCCACAGAGCAAAAATAAAGAACATTCACTAACCTACCATCAGCAAGAAGGTGGTGCGGGGGTCTCACCAGGACTGGAGGGGCCCTCCCACCCTGCTTCATGTGTTTGAATTTGACCCCACTGTGAAACCTGGAGGGAACAGAAACTTCGCTGCAGGAGGGGTTCAGCACCAGGGCCCCCAGGAGGTGCCTAGGATTAGAAAAGGTCATGGGGTCAGAGCCCAGGGCTTGGATCCTAACGGCCCCCCTGAGAGGAACAGAGACGGAAGGGGGCACGCACGCACATACGCCCTGGCTCGCTCCTGTTTCCTGCCCTGTGAGTCCCCCGCCTCCCAGACCCTGCCCGCAGGACAGCACCAGCAGACGGGGCCTTCGCCCCTGCAGCGCCAGCACCCAGGCTAGCGCGAACCTCTCTTTATCCCTCTGACCTGACCTGACAGGCTGTGTCCTCAGCAACAGGGAACAGCCGCGGGGGCCGCCGGGAAATCCCCAAATCCTAGGCTGAGACTCACAGTCATGGGGAAGGAAGGAGGAAGAGCCCGAGCCCGGAGCAGGTCAGGGGCCAGAGTGCGCCCGCCTGCTCCTGGGCTCGGGGGCCTGCCCTCAACCAGGGTCCCGCTACTGTGTCCGGTGACCCCCCTGCAGCTGCCACTTCCAAAGAGCAGGATGCCAGGAGGATGCGCTCCTAAGAAGCCACTCTCAAGGCAGGCCCAGATGAACCTTTGCCGGGTGGTTTTTCAGACAGGGTCCCACTATGCAGTCGGGTTACACTTCACCTTGCAGTCCTGCCTCCGCCTCCACGTGCCGAGATTACAGGTGTGCACCAAGGCGTGCACAAGTTAGGTGGAAGCAAGGCAGGTAAAGAGCTAACGTTAGGAAAGCTACCTACACTTAGTATGACTTTCTTCACACCAGGCCAGGAGTCTTGGCCGGAGCATGTTTTACAGAACCAACAAGCACAGACTCAGAAGCAGGGGAGCCCGTCCTAGCCACACAGTTGGAAAGAGGCCGTGCAGACGTTGATTCGGCCTCCAACGAAGGGCCTGGGCTTTGTGCCGGACAAGCCGAGAGCATTTACGCCTTGCAGAGACCTGAGCCTCAGTTTCTCCACCAAGGGCCGGGCGCTCGCAGTCCTGACGCGGGGCGGCCATCCCCTACCCCGCTGGCCGCGAGGAAGAGGAGGCCAACCGCCCAGGCTGCGGCAGGCTGCACCGCGCAGGCCGCCTGGAAACAAAGTTACACAGCAGCAGTGCGATCAACAACAACAACTCCCGCAGGGGGCCGCTCATTCCGCGCAAGTTAGAGCCGCAATTAGAAGGTTACAAAGGGTCGCAACCAGGGGGTCAGAGCCAACGGCGAAAGTGAGACCAGCCGCGACCCCAACCCTCAAGCCCGTTACGGCGGGGTCACCCGAGGAGGCGCCCCCGCGGCCACCCCGACGCCCTAGCCGCCCGCGATGCCCCGCCCCGTGCGCCCCGAGAGCCCCCGGCCGGCGCAGCCCGCGGGTCACCCGCGCAGGGTCACGGACAGGTGGCGGCCTCGCCCGCTCCCGGCGCGAGCTCCTGAACAGGATTTTCTTTTTCCCGGGTGCCCCGCCAAGGTCTCTCCCGCCCCTCGGCAGGTGCGCCGCCCGATCCGAGCGGGGACAGGTGCCCGACGCCATCTTCCCTCTTACTGGACACCCGGGCTGTGTCGGTGCCAACTCCAGACCCCGAGATCGAACCCAGTCCCCGAGGTCGCGTGAGGGCGGTGCCAGGGCGGCGGGGCGCGCTGGCCGGGACACCGAGGTCTCCCCATGGCCCGGACGCAGACACTGAGGCGTGGATGGCACGATCGTGGGGTGGGGACCTCTAGCCACCGGGCAGCGCGAGGACATCACCCCTCGAGTGACTCCTCCCGGACTCTCCGCGGCGGAGAAGGGTTCGGGCAAGGATCCCCTCCCAGCTCCAGGCCGGCACAGGCGGGGGATCTGGGTGCCCGGCGCGCGGCGGGGGCGCGGAC